GGGGAAGGTTTCTGCCAGGGAAACCTTAAATAAGAAAACAGTAGCACGCTTGCTGCTCCTCCTGCTATTCACAACACAACAAGTTACTGTGAAGAGAGACTCCAGCTAAAGCAATAAATATCACCCAAGTCATGCATTAATGACATATTTTTATGGTTGCATTGCTTCAAAAAAAAAAAGAAGCTATTTTTGTTTCGTTTTCTGCAAGCAATCATATAACAATAATTAGAAAATAAATACCTCATTTAGAGCCTGACAGCTGATATTGTCAGCTGCTTTTTACCTTATCACAAGTGTATCGATATCAACGAGAACTGCATTACAAGTAAGCAGACAAAATGAGCAAAAATTCTAACCAAGATCCAGAAGCCATGACTAATTCCTATTTATATTATCGTTGTATATTTGTACTTTAAAAGATATCTCCAGGAGAATTGAGATTTGCAATTCACTGTGAATTTAGAATGTATTTGAATCACAATCAGCTAAGTACAGAAAACTGACTTTTTGTACAACTGGTTGAAAATATTCAGAAAAAAAAAATCAAAGCTTGTCTTAAAATGTTCTAAAATAAACGATTATTTAACTACATCAAACAGAGAATATTTGTTCAGATGTGGTGACTGTTCTTTCTACTCACACACATATTTAACATGCTGTTGAAAATGATGGAGTTCCTGACCTCGGTGACCTCATAGCTGGCTACAGGCCTGCAAATAAGCTAAAAGGTATTTTTGAAGTTAAATAAAAACAGTATCCTCATCACTTAGCTTATCCACGTGAAGGCATTGACGAGTTTGATTTTGTACTAATTTTGTAATAATGTCTCACTAAGTACAGACTGTAAGCTGTGGTCAATACTTGAGGGATGCTTGTCAGTCAGAAATGTTCATGCATTTATCAGACAACAGAGTATTACAGCTTTTAAAATGTTTACTAGATTGCTGCACCTCATTGATAATGAAGGTCTAAGTGCATGACTACATGAGGGGAAAAAAGACTTGAACCATACTTTTATAGGGTGTAACAGTCGCTTAAAATAGGTAGCTCATAAACAAAACCTGTTTTTTTTTTCCACAAGAGAAACTCACAATTGCAAGCCCCAATTACAAAACAGAGACTGGAACTCTGATACACAAATGAAATAAAAACAGAGAATCGAGGTTCATAGACTTGTTTATCTAAACTCATCCGGTAAGTTCAAAGTTTGCTTCTGTCTTCTTGTAAGAGGCAAAGTTTATTAAATCGCTGCTATGACTTCGGGGAGTAAATAGAATGTTTCCAATTCTACGTGGCTCAAGAAAATGATTTCATATGCCGCCTCAATAAGATGATTCACTGTCAAAAGGAGTCAGGATACGTCTGCATACAATATCCTGGATATTATTTGGCAGTCTCCACAGGTACATACCTAAGAAAACAACTTTCTTTTGCATCAAATAAGACATCATGATCAGATAATGTTTTTGTCTAGAAGAAAGAGACCTACTTTCTTATATTATGTACTCATGCAGTTAATTTTTGTCATCAGCTGGCTTCTTCCCGCGAGGGTTAAGATGTAATTAAATGAAAGGTAACAAGCATTCTCCTAACATATTCCTGCTATAATACTGTAAAGCCCTTCTTCGACATCGGTGGGTAACATTGCTGGCAACATCAGTTTGGTAAACTGACGACATTCTGTCAGTCGGATGAGCGTCACTAAAGTTGTGAGTCAATAAACTCATACGAAAGATTCCTACAAACAGTTGGAAGCGACGAACTGAACTTCTGGTTTACATTTATTAATGTTGTGTCATTTGCACTCGCTGTGATTGTTTTTGACCAGTATTGGTGCGGAAATGTGGAACTCACACAACCTGAAGAACGTAGCCTGTGCATGTCTATTTGTAATTCAGCGACATGCAGTTCACACTTGTGCCTTGTTGAAAGGGAAGTGTTACCAGATCTGACCCTGTTAAACTGCTGTTGCAACTTTTATGGAGAGGGCGCTCGTTCAGACGTGAAACCAATGTTCAGATGCCATCAGATTTCTGGAAAGGACTGCGTGTATAAAACAGGCTTAGGTTGAAGTCTATGTGTCAAGAGTGGAATGTTCGTTGACTGCCAGTATAAGGAAACTTGAACATGAACTTGTAAGCGGCAAACTGATTTATTAGATGCTTTTTTGTCTTTGATTTTTTTTTTTCCAAACAGAGCAGTCTGTCATCAAGTTGAACCATAGAAATATGTCAATGTACATTCAAAGCAGTCATAAGGTGCTGAAAGCTTCTATCTAAATTATTTGTAACGTTCTCGTAATGCCTAAACAAACAATCCATTTATTCACGTTTAGGCATTGTAAAGCCCTTCCATGTTGAACTCGGTTAGACAAAATTACTTAGAAAAGTAGCCAGAAAAATGGGAAACCATTGCTGCTGTCTTGGATTTCTCTTGCTATCAAACCAAAAGTGTGTAAAGGCTGCTCTGATTGTCAGTTAAGACAAACCTCACTTGACTGAGACTTTTTCTGTTTTCGCTGTTGTGTCCTGGAAAGTAATTTCTTGAGCGGCGAGAACCCTGTGGAATTCCTCTGGGAATATGGCTCCTTTGTGTGGCTGCTAATCTGTGCTGCCGACTGTACTCAATCTGGCAGCTCCTTCACAGTAAACACCGCAGACGTTTATATTGACAAATGCGGGGGATTATTTTCAACGATCGTTTCATTGTGAAGTTATCTAAAGCTGTTCCACTAATTTGAGCACTTGAAAATGCCCTCGTTTCTCAATGGCATAAAACAAGTGGACCTCCTCTTATTGTCTTGCTGCTCACACTCTTTTGTTCGTGCACGCTAATTCTCTTTCTTCTTATATCCCATTCTTGGAGTTTTCAGTGTAAATTCCATTGTTTTACAGCGAGCACTGATTTCCCCTGACGTCCTCAACTAATGCCCTGCCAGGGGGATTTAAACTCTCTCTTTCTCACACACACACACACACACACACACACACACACACACACACACACACACAAACAGATAAACACACAAACGCACACCATCAGTATTCCCTCAACAAACGTGAAGCAAATAAATTGGGCCACAATGATTCCAGCTTTTTATTCTTATTCACATAATGAGAAAACCCCATCAGAAGGTAAAGAAACTGGAAGTTTTGTAACAAAACGAGACTTTGAAAACTTTTAAAATATAAATCTCTTAATTGTGGGCTACGACCACAGACTCGCTACGAAAACATTAACGCAAATGTCTAACAGAGCAGGTTGTGTTTGGAAAGAACCAGCCTGGCTTAGCTGGACCAGCCTCTGATGAGCGGAGATCATTTATCCTGAAGAACCTCACCAGAACTACAGTGTGTGTTCATCCATGAAAAAAAAAGTTAAAAAAAATGTTTCGACGGAGAGAATGTATTTTAGTGTTCGCTAAAATACACCAAGAGTGTGTCCTTATCACCCCCTAAGTTCTATTTCTTTGTGTTGTGTTCATCAAACTGTCTTCAGTTCCACCAGCAGCTTATAAAGTGTGTTATTTACTTTCTGTTACAATTGATATGAGAATATTATTGCAGTACTGACTCATATTTTGCTCTGTACAGTAGAAATCGACCGATATGGGTTGTTGTTTTGTTTTTTTTTCTCCCAAGGGCCGGTACTGATGCTGATGATCAAGAAAGGCCGATAACCAATATTTAGAAACCATTGCACAGTTTTAGTAGCCTGTAATAGCAGGGAACCTGTCATAACTAGACTTCCTCATTAATAGGGATGACTATAACTGAATATGTAAAACAGATATAGTATTGAATAAATTAGGACGCTTTCCTTAGTTTAAGCAAGATCGACTGAGATTAATCAGCTCGTCTCCTGTAGTTCTGTCAGCTGTTCTTCTCTTTTGTTCTTAATCTTTCACTGTTCTTTCACTTTTATTGCCCACTAAGGTCCATAGCTTAAAGCAGTATGAATATTTTTTTCCAGACTCAGGTTCAGGGTAATTTGTGGCTTCCTTCTAACTTAGCTGCGAGCTGTTAGCATATATAGCCTAGCCACCGTCAGAGCAGCTCACTTCCTGGTTTGTGGTAACGGCTTGTTTTTCTTATTCAGTTTTTGCGGTCTTTGCTGGAGAGACATTTCTGAGACCACAGAGTGACGGAGGTTGCATCAGACCTAAAGTAGCACATTTCATTTATCAATAATCGGTCAGTGAATATAACAATACCAGTAATCGGTAAAATGCCAAATATCGGCTGGGCCAATATTTGGTCCATCCCTACTGAACAGACTACGGAACCCTGGAAGGGACATGGAGTAAGAAAAAAAACAGGGAAAGGGGAAACAAAATAGAGATATCTTTTGTGAGATCTCGCAAAACTTTCTTGGGATCTTGCAAAAACTTCTGCTAGATCTCGCAAAAGTCACATCAATCTTATTGGATGTTTTGTGAAAACTGTGCCTCTTGCTAAGCACTGATTGAATGTCTTTATATTTTAGGCAGATTTCAAAATAAAACTCAAAAAAATTCTCGTACGGGCAGGTGTCGTCCATTGTCGTTTCTCCATACTGCCAAAAAGACCCAGAAGCATATATACCAATAAGTTTTCTTCTTCTTCTTGTTCTATTGATTTGGTGGTTGGCATCCAACGTTCAGGTGCATTACTGCCACCTACTGGACTGGAGTTACCTAAAGTTTTCCGAGATCTCGTAAAAGTTATTGCGAGATCCCGAGAAAGTTTTGCGAAATCTTGCAAAAGATACCACTATTTTTTTTCCCTCTCCCTGTTTTTTTCTTTCTCCATGTCCCTTCCAGGCTCCATAACATACAGTCATATGATTAGTCTTGTCTCACCTCCACAACTATGGTAACCAAATCCTGACTGTACGTAACAAACACTTTATTTATATTAGTCTGCTCATCTCAATCTTTGAAAGACAGTAAAAAAGTTTCTTTAAATCATATTTAAAGCTCCTTTCTCCTAATGAGTCCTTCTGATTGCTTCCTTGCGCAGGACGAGTTTCCTTCTTCTCTTCTGGCTCAGAGAACCTCCACCGTGTGGAGAAGGTGACGTGGGGGACGCGCTACGCCATCACCGTGTCCTTCACCTGCGACCCAGCGCACGCCATAACCGACCCCGCCCTGCCCTGAGGCGTCCGTTGGATGATGGATAACACCGCTGCCCACCGGCTCGGACAAGCTCTGCAGCAAAGAAGGGAAACAGAAAGGAAGGACAAGAGGAAGTCGTGAGATTTTATATGGAGGTTCTACTCATTGGTATACTATAGCTGCACATTCAGTATCTGTTATTTTTATTTTCAGGTATTGACTTTCTTCCCCTTTACTGATTGTGCAACAGAAGAAAAGCCACATGTGGTCTCTCTCTCTTATGTAGAGGTGGTTTCCTATTTGTTACTAGCCCTTGTGTTTCTATCCAATTTTCTACAGCGTTTTCTTTTTTTTTTTTTTCTTGCTCTATCCTAATCGCTGGTATTAGGGGTGTTTGGGTTCCCCACAGGTTTCCACAAGCGCGCTCTCCTTGATCATTCAGGGGACAGCTCGAGAACAAACTGTTTTTCTGCTGAAACGGACTTAAAGAGGCTAAAGTGGGATTGTGTTTCTGCCGCTTGTCTCTCTGTTTTTTTTTCTTTTTAAGGAGAGCTGTCGATTCCTTGAAGAATAGATATAAATCTGGTGAAACTCTCACTGAATCAAGCTTTCATCACCAAATCCCCCACTCAGACCATGACCCAGGAGGTGTTTTTGAAGGACTCTCTCTCTGTCCAAGAGAAAAATGGCTCTTTCTAGTTTGCTAACATGTGCTTCTGTGGTGACGGTGAGAACGGTTTGAAGTTAAATACTGACCTGAAAAGCCCTTGTTTCTTTGTCTCCTTATAGCACTCAGACTTATTGGTTTTCCTCCAGCAGTCCAGCACACTTGAGTATTAACAGTTTTTATTAAATCAACCAATATTATTCATGTGTACACCACTACTGATTGCTACTAGAGTCTTGTCTGCACTTCCTTAGTGCGCCAGACACTCGAGGAATTGCTTGATTGATCAAACACTGTTGTGTGATGGAGAAGTCATCGTCCTTGCTTTTCTGATTTTCCACACAGCTGCTCGCAACCATCCACTGTCTCCGTTCTCATTTCTTCGGCATAGATTCTTAAATTGATTTCAGAATCAATCATTTTATATATTTTTAATGTGCCAATCATCTTTTTCCAATCTTTACTTTTTATAACTTTTTTTTAATCGAATGTTAGTTTCTTTTGTAATACTTAATGGCATTTTCTTGTGATAGAAGATGGGATCAGAAATAAAATAACATGGTAAGTGAAAAGCAATATTTGTTCCAGTAATGAAAATGTTCTATTTATTCTTGTTGCGTAGGATGTTGATTACTCTTTGTGACAGGGAGGCATTTTCCTCTAATCACAACAAGACTGAATAAGTTGTTTTCTCCTCGCCAACATGAGATCCACGTATGATAAAGGGCAAATAATTGTTTGGCAAATGAAGGGATTTTTATTTTCTTGGGCTCTTGAATGCAAGACATTGTTTGCCTACATTTTGTTCATGTCTGCAGCTTTGTCATCAGTCTTTTTAAAAAAACAGGAGCCACTTTCACATGTACCCAAACCCTGTTTTTTTGTTTTGTTTTTTTAATTCATTTTTTTCTATCGTTGCAGGCAGTTAATAGCTTCTCTTGATTTCATATAACGATCTGTAAGCAGACTTCTGAAATGAGTTCTGCTGGCATTGGACATTAAGTCTGTCGTCTTTTTTTTTGTTAAACATACAATTACATTTTGAAGATAAGATAAAAAAGATTTTTCCAATTATTCTACATGTAAAGGTCCCATATTGTGTCTGTTTTTAGCTAGCTGTGAGCACAGAGAGCAGGAGAGAAGAACATGGACGTAAACACTGGCAGACCACAATAGGTGACATGAAACCACTCAACCCACCCAGCCCTTGTTTATTGGTTTCAAAGTTTCCAATGTCTCTGAAAGCCCCTCAGCTTTACCATCTCCACCGAGTGCTGACCTGTGGGCATATGATGAGAATGAATGGTAACGTTCGCCACATCAGGTTAGGGATTTTGGTGGTGACATTTCCATCAAAAATAAAAGTAGTCCACCTGGTATTCAGTTTCTAAGATGCTGGGAGTGCATGAGGACTCTTGCGTTAATTTTTGCAGCGAACATTTGTTGAGCTTTGCTTGCGGCTGAAACATTTTAAAGTTAACATTTAGCATTGCTCTCGAACTTGAGGAATGGCAAAGGAGACGTCTTCATATCTAATCATAACAGCTTTTTACTTTACACCAAGTTTTTCCACACAATCCCACACAAAATATAAGGGGTTTTCACCATATGGGACCTTTGCTATTCCTTTAAATTGTTTTGTTTTGCACTTGTGGCTCTGGCATATTATTAACTCATAAACCTGAGCACACTAGCAAACTTTCTTAACTACCCTTCTTGTTTCTGTACACCTTTTGAATGAAAGTCCAACGTTCACTCTCTTTTTCTTTAGCTCTGTCTGAGTTGCCACCAGCTCCTGAGGGGAACATCCATTAAATGCTTAAAAGCTAGTTGCTGATTTTGCCAGTTTTAATGTTCGACTGGGAGTGAACACGAATGTATGGAAGGTTTTATTGTTATTGAAAATGGATGTGTTTTGCAGCTGGAGATGATGTTGAGAGCTGTGGAGTTGGCTGACACTTCTCTGTAAGTTTGTCACTAAGAGTTGGCCCTTTCACATTTTAGTCATTTAATAAACGGTTACTACAAAAATATTGAATTACGCAGCTTTTAAATGTGTATTTTCATTTCCATTCACTGATGGATTACACAACGTCAGCAAGATTTTGCCCACCATGCATGCAAGTGTACGGTATTTGCAGTTTTGGAGTTAACACTTGCAAACGCACCAGTGGGAAACGTCCTGCTGTGCATCTAACAGAATTTCTACTTACTTCAACGACTTGGAGTGAACAAAGCATAAGGTAGTGCGTTCACATCTACTGCACATACATTGACAACTGCTGTGCCTACGGTTCAATATTGCTCTTCCCAGCTCCTCAGAGACCTATTATCGCATTCATTAGTGATGTGAGAAGCATAGCATAGGCCTCCATGTGCAGGAGGGCTGTGTGGGAGGAATGCCAGTTTCTGTGAAACGAGGAAGATGATAGATATATCACAGAAAAACTGCAACACACACAATGCAAAGGCTTCGGTGTGACAAGGTCGTTCATAGCTGTCGTGCGGCAGCGAGTTTTAATCTTCTCTGATAATGACGTTCACGTGTACTTTGCCTGTCAAAGGAGTCATTAAATCTCCTTTAACCTTCAAAGTAAATGCTCTTGTCACAGTAAGGAAGCGCACAATCACGTTGTGTGGCTCTTGTGACATACTGATCAACTAGGTTAGAGGACTTTAACCTACAGTCGAGCTGCAAATTATTCATACCAATGCCAATACCTATTGGATTTATAGTGAATTTTTATGTGAGCAATAGGTTTCTTATGGCTGGAAATGAAATAAACAAAAGGCAGCAAGTCATTGTGTTAGAGATGTTGAGATCATACATTTCAACCATTTCTCTGTTGATCTCTTATACATTTCTTACATTGAGGAAGTGGCACCCTGTATAGTTGGCGTCCATGGACACCATCCTTGTGCAGAGCCTGCATTTACATGATGGTACCAGAACTACTCAGATTCACCAGGGTATCCTCAAAGTGATCCCTGGATGGCCATGGCTGCTTGAAAACACTTGGATATGGCTTAATAACTGTTCTCCATCTTGTAAGCAGCAGCTCTCTTAGTGATGGACCATGATGTGAAGCTTGCTAAGCTCTTCAGTTTTAGTCAAGACTTACTCTTGACAAGTAATTGAGGAGAGAACTACTTCATCAGTTGTTCTCTATCGTTGCCCTAAACTCCATGCAACATATTGACTTTAAAGTTACGTTGAGTTATTGAGAATCAAAGACGTTCCACCATGAAAAGCAAAAACCAATTCTAAATTTGATTTTAGTCTCCTGAAAAGGTAGTCTTCTTGGTGTTGTGGTACACTGCTCCCAGCGCTCCTGCTACACATTGAGCACTATTTGAAAATGTTTTAGTGACCGGTTTCACAGTGAACCTCAAACTTGCACAGAGAACATAAAATTCTGTGTGAAACTGACTTCACGTTGAGGATCATCGCTGGGGACGAGAGTTGGATCCAGAGACCAAACAGCTGTTTTCAGTGGAGGAGCCTGTAGTCTGCGAGACTACGGAAGGCACATCAGGTTACAAGTGCATCAAGAGCATGCTTGTCGATTTGTTGAATATTCACAGGGATGTGTGCTGTGAATTCGTCCCACAGGGTTGGACTGTCGATGCTGAGTTCTACTATAACGTCCTGAAGTGTCTGAGAAAGAACATTTGGCGTGAACGGCCTCAACGGTGGCACATGAGAATGTGGGCCCACTCACAGCATGTTGAAAAGTATTTCAGATCAAATCAAGTTAATTGTCATTTTGCTGTACATACACAGTAGTGCAGGAAAGATGAGAGAGCGTTTCTTCGCCATCATTCAATTAGTAAGTTTTGCAGAATGAACGTCTGGGATAAGACACTAAACGTTCACTCTCGCTGTCTCCTGAAGGAGCTGATGCGTCCATGCGCGCCGCCATCACGTTGAACATGGCGAACCTCTTCAGGTCCTGGTAGGTCTTCAGGGACACAAAGACACACACGATGGTGTGACGATGGTGAAGCCGCAGATGCTGCCCAGAGCTAGCTGTCTGTCTGTCTGGAATAATGTTGTTTCCTCCAGCTGTATGACCGTCTGGGATGTTATCATGGAGCCATGTTTCTGTTAAAGCAAACACACAGCAGTCTTTCCACTCTGCGGGTTTCTCTCAGCAAACGTAGCTCTTCCAGCTTGTTGTGGAGGGAGTGGACATTGGAGAGTAGGAGGACGGTACTGCTGGTCTGGAGGGGTTAGCCTTCAGCCTTGCATGGATCCCAGCTCTCTTCCTCCTCTTTTGTTTCCGTTCCTACCGTTTGCGCTTCCTTCTCTCTCGGGTAACTGCCAGTGTAGTCTCCGATCGGACTCCGTGTTGGTGTAGTATGTCCAAATCACAACCGATCACCGCGATTCCAGCACCATTCACTGTCCTGATGCCCAGCAAAGTGTCCCAGCCGCAAGTTTTGCGGAATGAGCATCTGGGACAGACAAGATTTTGCAGCAACATCACAATCTTTGCTCTCCACCCAGCCTACTAACCAGATTTGACTCCCATTTTCTCTTCCCCCAAAATGAAATCCAATTATAGAGGGCTCAGCATTTTAGGATGGTGGAGGAGGTCCAGTACACATTGTAAATGATGACGTACTTCCAGGAAGTGTCTCAGATGTAGCAGGAGCTCTGGGAGTGGTGAATCATGGCACAAGAATACAAACTCAAAACTTCCTGATTGCACATTGTAGAAGTCGGCTACACATGCTAAGGTTTGTAGCTTACATTAAAGCAGGTAAACATACTGCTACATCAATTCTTTACACTTAACATTCCATCCATCCATCCATTATCTATACACCGCTTAATCCTCAATAGGGTCGTGGGGGGCTGGAGTCTATCCCAACTGACTCAGGGTGAAGGCAGGGGACACCCTGGACAGGTCACCAGTCTATCACAGGGCTACACTTAGAGACAGACAACCAAGCACACTCACAGTCACACTTACATACAATTTAGAATCACCAATTAACCTCAACATGTTTTTGGACTGTGTGGGAGAAAGCTAGAGAACCCAGAGAGAACCCACACGGCACGGGGAGAACATGCAAACTCCACTTAACATTCCTTTTTTTTTTCTTTTTTTAAATACTTTTTGACTTGGAAAGGCTAAAACCATCCCTCAAACTCTTTAAATACCATGTATCTCTCATACCACGAGCCCAAGCACACTGCTTCAACATGTGCTTAGTTACAGCTGCCAGCTGTTTGGGGAAGGAGCTCATCGTAAACCCTCTGCTTGTGCATGGCCTTGCCTTAAAAATACACTAAATGGCTTTTACTGTCTAATAACTCCATTATCTTGTAAGTCAGGCCAGAACTCTACAGAGATGGTTGTAATTGTAGCTCCAGTTAGCTGGTAAACTGTCTTGAATGTGCGCTGAAGGCAGCTTTGCTAACCATAGGCAGTGGTACTGTATCAATTAGGACATTTGTAACACAATCTGTTCAAATAATAGACTCATGATACCACATCTCACTCTCAGCAGGCTCAATCATGATTTGAGCTGTGTAATTAAGTGCACTGGTGTGACTGATTACCACCATTATTATCATTGGCTTGTGCCAACTGGCTCCATTACATGGCAGCGTCCACAGGGTCTAGTGAGAAGTCAGACTCTGCTGACTTGACTAATACCCATTTAATGAAACTCTTGGAAACGTCAGCCAATATAAGCAGTTCACACGTAGCTGTGAACCACTGTACATTCACATAATATCTAATGCTCAATATGTCATTCTAAAGCAAAAATACCAGGAGGACTGAACTGGAGAGCAAAGCTGTGTTATCTGTCTTTAATAGTACAGAAATCCAGCATCTCAAACTGTAAGAATGCTGTTCAGATTGCTTGAGAGAAGTTACTTTACCCTGAACAACTTGGAGATTAAGATCTTAGATGAAGCGCAGAATCACAGCTTTATTACTGTTGAAGCTCAGATCTCAAAGCACAAGACTGCTGTTCGCTGGAGAGATAAAATAAAATAAAAATGTCCGGTTTGTGTTTAACAAAGTTGATTTGACAGCCTCCTCTGGTTTGGATTTTAAAAACACCTGAAGGCTTGCCACACTTTGACAGCCTGTTCTGTCATTTAAAGGTCGCTTCCTGAGTAGAATTTCCAAACACGTCCAAATGTCCAAAAGTGAATATGTGAAGTTCAACTGAAAAAAAGTGTATTTTCTTTTATCTAGTTTTACACCTCTGTGTACAAGCTGTTTTCAGTCACACCAACGTCACACATTAATATCAGGATGGTAGTTATGAGGATTCCAGTCTCTGAACAATTCAATAATTTCCCGTGTGGCTCTGAGAGCTCTGTCAAGTGCAAGAAAGTGTGTGAGGAATCTCACTGTGGACTAGGAAGCTGTGGTTGTTGTTTTTTTTTCTACAGAAAGCTTGAGTCATAAACTGGTAACATTATGTTGAAAAGACATCAAGTTGTAATGAAAAGGAGTTGTAGGTGCCAAAATGTTGATGCTTGGCTGATAATCTGCTCTTGACCAATACTTATGATATATATCTTACAAGCTAAATACTAATATACTATATCACTACAGTCCTCTAATGGACAGTGATCTCATGTCATTGGCTGAGAGTGACACAGCTGACATGTTACTAAGCAAAGTAAAGCTGCAAAAGATAGCAAAAATAATAAAGTAAAATGATTAACTGACGATTAGCTGATGCTCTATTTACTGCAGGGATGGATGAAAAATGGTCATTCTTATCTTTTCTGCCGGAACTCTACTGGTTTATGTGCATGAGTAGTTTAAGAATCGGGAAGGGGGCCAAAGTTACAACTATTAAAGCAGCTGTAATCAATATTTGTTGAGATCCAATGGATCAAATAACCATGTATTATGAAAGGAGGTACTTGACATTAAAAAAAACATACAGGTAATTTTCATACCCACAACTTTACTGTTTTGATTCATTCTCGCTGCTCTCGTCAGCGCTGTTTTGCAAGCAGCTATAATCAGAAAAAAAAAATCTCCAAAATCCCCAAAACATAGCAAAAATACCAAATAGTTTGCATCCAGATAGAGAATATATTGTAGCATTTAGCTGCTAATGAGACAGATATTTCCCTCAGGAGATGGTGGAGACCAAAAACGGAACCAAAAGGCTGGTGTTGCTCTGTGCCTGCTGGGTGAGTAAATTAATAAATATTTGTTAACAAGTTCCCTTTATTAACCCAAAAAGGTGATACATTAGTGTTGTGTTTACTGTTGTCTGTCTGCCCCAGGTGGCCAAAAAATTACTGCAGCTTTAAAGATGTGATGAATCTCATTACAGACAGGTTGAAGGAGCATTTGTCATTTGAGGGAAATGCCATGTCTACTGTTTTAATTTACAGATTTGTCTTCCCTTGGTGACTAACAGCTGGTGCAGAACTAGCTCAGCATCGTTCATATTCATCTGACTAATGTCTCTTTTGGGATTAAAGTAATACATTGCAGGAAAAACAAGGTGCTTCCCCAACTCAGCAATTAACAGATTTTCCAGACTGCAGGAAGGGAATCAGTGTGTTCCTCATAAATTTCTCATGAATTTGAATGTATGCAGCCGTAAGCTGATAAGTTCCACACAGATCATATCGTATCTGCAATTTGCATAGCGTAAGTGCTACAAAGCGTTGTCAGACAATATGTAGAGATGGGAGGAACCACAAAGGAGGAGAGGTTGTTTTTCCATCTATCTGCGACTGTGCCTGTGAAGCACCAAGGGACCGGCTGCAATGAATTTATGCATGAGTTTGGGACATTTGACATATGAACACAAAAGTCAAAAGTGGACCAAAATGTCCGGTCCCATCTGGGACATTCGTTGGAAAATGTCACATCTCTAGATATCATTCAGATAATTTTCATAATTACAGGAAATCAGACAAAGGACATGTCTCTGTCGGTGTATGTTTGAGGAGCACAGCTGCCGTGTCCAGACATGCATAAAATTACCATCCATCTTACTCTGTACACACAGTTTGTTTTCATGTCTCTGCCTGGTGAATCTAAAGAGCACAGAGTGGCTTTACAGCAGATGCCTGCATGAGCTGAAGACTTCAATACATCAGATTAAAGTTAAAGAGCTTCCTTTCAGCGCTCGCGGCGAGCTTAATTAAAGAGTTAAGAACTCTCCATAAAACATGAGGCATGTTTATGCATATCTCATTAAGAAATCTGCCACCTTCTTACTCAATACTTTTAAAATCAGTGTTGAGTGGATGCAGATCAGGTGATCAGCTATTTAATTGTATGAACACCACATAAACCCAAAGGTGTGACAAAGTTTCCCCATTCAGGTAAGTGGGCCACAGTTCAGCGTAGTAAACAGAGCGTACAAAGCCGAGCTGGAAGCACTCGGTCTGAGCAGTGGGTGTTTTTGGCACAGAGTTTGCCACAGGAGCAGAAGTGTGTTTGCCTCTGTGGGTGAATGCATGCAAATTTAGTGGAAGTGATTGGCCATGCAGGTGGAATTGTTTTGTTTTGTTTTTTCTCCTCCGTCTGCCACCGGAGTCCAGATGTGGGCTCTGATCACTTCCTCTGAGCTCAATTCAGTCACAGAACACCCATCTGGCTCCGCTCACCATGGGACTGCTGTGGAAATGGATTATTTTGAGCTTTAGTCAGTGATGTGACGGTACACACAAAGTTAACTACCAGCACAGGACCACCCGTGTCCAAAGATGACCCTTGAGGACCCCAAAAGCCTCAGGTTCACTGCATGTCAGTTGATAATTTGCCAGTTTTGTTAGGCCATTTGCATATTATCGGTTAAGACTGGCCCTGCATTATGTATAAAATCTGATTTGTGTAGAGGAGTCCTGTCCAAAATGTAGGTATAAAAGCTTTATTGTTTCAGTTTGTATTGTGCTGTCATGGAGTTTATTTTCGTGAATATTTTTTGTCTTTATTAAGGACTTTGTATTAGAGAGCTGGTGAATGATATTGAGCAAAAAAACACACTGGACCAGGCAAACTTCAGTTTGTGGTCGACACACTAATCCCATAACTCCAGAAAAGGAGTGATACTTAACTGGGAACTTTAAAGCAGCCTGGTATACTCTGAACCTTCAGTTCTCATGATTGGACTAAATGCCCCACTGACCCCTCAAATACAACTCTGTTTCATTATCCCCCCTCCCCCCAGTCACCTAGAAACCAACCAGAACCAGGGAGCTCAAAATTAATAGCCAGTCATAAGCAAACAGCTGATAAATTCATATGCATAAGGTCTGGCACCAGTTCATCTAATGTGAATTCAGTAAATTCAGAATTTGAAGGGTTTTGACCTTCCAAGAAATAAAAAAAAATGTTTGAATAGATGTATTTTGGCTTCAGGGAATAATTCTGGAAATTTTTATGAACAAAAAAACACATTTTCAAACAATTATTCAATAAAATAGCTGCCAGATGGTGATGATGACAATGGTTGGTTTTAACATTTCAGTTCTTTTGTGATGGATTATTACATGAAATTATTGCATTAATTACACGAAACCAGAAACAGAGAAGCACTTTGACAAAACCAACTTCACAACAAATGTGCTCCAAAGTAAAATAAATGTCTTAAAACTTGGTTTTGACACTGAATTCCGCAAAAAGTTTCTCGTCTACAACAGTGCAACAAATTTCCAGTTGATTTATGTGGGCCCAAACAATCTGGCATAGCTGGGTACATCCTGTACAGAGGGTGGTCAGGGATGGAGACATGTGCTAAGTGCTGATGCAAAAATACTTTTTGGCCCTTAATCAAACTTTAAAGCTGTCTGTCATTTATTGCGATTAATTTGAGTAAACACAAATTTGTTTGTGTAAGGAGACTTCACCCCTTTGTAATACATGTGCAGCGATCAGGTTTCAGTTTTAAATTGTACCCTATTGGTGCATGTTATCAAATCAAATGACCACAAAACAACAGTCACACAGTGAACCTGCGGCCTCCTGTGCAGTCACTTGGTTTTTCATGCAGCCTTTTGAGCAGGTGAAGAGTCAGCAGGAAAACAGGCCCCCCAGGAGGCATGAAAAGAAATTAATTTACGTTTCACAGAGTGCTGTATAATATATTATCATTAGAAAATACTGCAGTCCTTCACTGCAGCCTTGTGTTCAACACAGCTCTGTAGGATCAGCTGCTCCACCGAGGCTGAGGATGTGAAGGAGCAGCAGAGAGAAGTGTCAGAGTGCTAATGGGGCTCAGTGGGACCACAACGGACAGACATGCATAGAACACTACAACTACAAAAAGCATCTTGTGAACAGAGAGCAGGGATGCTGGAAAACATTCGTCACTGAAAAACTGTCAGTGATAAAATCTCACTTTCACTTAACTTTAAAACATGCGCCCCGGTGACCACTAGGGCGCATGTTTTACGCACGGCGCTACAGCGGCCTGTGCGTAATGGAGAGGTTAGACCGCCAACTTACCTGTTGCGGTTCTGTTCTCCAGAAGCTGTCTCTTCTGTTACAGGTGACTTGTGAATCACTTCAGTGTCCCCATGACCAGCGTCTCGGAGTTGAACTCGAACTGATTGCTGGAGGACGCAGACTTCCCCCATGAGTAGAGGCTGGGCGGCCGCTGCTTAAAGGAGGAGGTGTACCTGTAGAAGCTTCTGTGCCTGTTCTTCAGGTACTCTCTGTAGTTCTTGGTGAGCAACGTGTACAGGAAAGGGTTAATGCAGCTGTTGCTATACGTGAGACTCGCCACCAGGTAGTTGATGCAGGTGTGTGTCTGTGAAGCCAGGCTCAGCGGCTTGGTGTGGTACAGAGGCAGCAGCTGCCAGATCCAGAACGGCAGGAAACACGCCCAAAACACCAGCACGATGGTGAAAATCATGATCAGCACTTTCTGTTTTGGTGACCTCTTGCCGCCTTTGCTGATCACAGAGTTTCGCTGGGACTCTAAATAAGTGCGAGCCAACTTGACATACAGGTAGCCGATAATGAGCCCCGGGGCCATGATGCTGGTGCCAAACAGGACAGTCACGTATACTTTATAAGCCAGGGGCGCCCATGTGGGTGCGCACATCCTTTTAACACCCCCATCCGGAGTGTTCTTAGTGGTCTGGGCGACCATTATCATCATGGGCACAGTGAGCACCAGAGACAGCAGCCACACACCCCACGCCAGAGCTTTGCGGTAACTCTTGGAGCGTCTCACCGTGTCCAGCGGCTTGGTGACGGCCAGGTAGCGCTCCGTGCACATGACAGTGAGGGTAAAGATGCTGGCGTGCATGGTGAGGAGGTCCAGGCTGAGAAGGATGCGGCAGCCCACGTCCCCGAAGTACCAGTCCTTTAGGAAGTAAGTGGACACCACGAAGGGAATGGTGGAGAGGTAGAGGAGGTCCGCCAGAGCCAGGTTGATGATGGAGATGTACATAGAAGTGGCGAAGCGGATGGAGTGACACATCACCACCAGCGTGTACACGTTCCCCGATACTCCGATTATGTAGACAACAGAGAGAAGCGTCCCGAAAGTAGAGGTGATAACGAGTTCATGATCCACAGTCCCGGAGCCGCCGACCCGCGGCGGACTCGTGTTCAAATTCAAAGTCTTGTTATTCATGGCGCGCCGTGCTGATCTCCGGTCCTGATGTTTTTGTTTTGCTCCGAGCTCTTTGGCAGCGCTGGATAAGTTTGGAAAGACGCGCACCGGCACAGGTTGTGTCTCGCTTATCCGCCTCTCCGCGCACTGCCTGCTGCTCTTTGCTCCTGACGTCAGCACAGTAACACCGAAGATCTTATATCAAAAATATATAAGACGGCTCGAGGACGCAGCTGTAAACATTGTTCAAATGGAAGAAATGAGATTTATAACACGGCGAGGGAGGAGGGGGGAAAGGAGAGAGTGATTTTCTAGACACTGACAGATGTTTTTACGCAAAGATGAGTGATTCAAATGTTTCAGTAAAACTTTACTCAGCACTGTGTGCGCACCTGCTGCCAACAGCAGGACTAGACCTCATACAAATACATATATTTTTTATGTTTTTTATTTCGCCACAAATCGATAATTTTACGCACGGACTTACTGGAGTAATAATCGTAAAAATCCCTTTTTAAAATCTCTCCCGGGTTCATTTTCATGTGCCATCTTCCTGCTGCAAATGAGGCTGATAAGAACAAGCAGCTCGGATAATTAACCTCTTCTCCTGCAGTGACCAGGCTCAACAGCTAAATTTGTACCAAAGATTCAATTTATGTCCTTTTCTGTTCTGCTTCTTCAAGGTTATCGTGACATTAATAAACACTTTGGTGATTGTCATGGAGATATGGAAGAAGTTCACCTCAAATAATAGAGATTTAAAAAGGTCAGACAAGAATTTAATAGCTGCTCAAAAGCTGCGGTTAGTCTGTTTCTTTTGCAGGTTTTATTAATGCTGCAGCTTCACCTCAGAGCTCTTGGAGCTCTCCTCTTGCAGCAGCTCTCTTGTATTGGAAATAAAACAGAAGCTATTTTGCCTTAGATGAATTATTTGCGGCCAGGATGACTTTGCTATGAATTTTAAGCATCCAGTACTCCAGATAGGAAGACACATGTTTTCTTTTTCCAAAATGTCTCCCAAAACTATTATTAGTTTTATTGTCTTTCTTTCCACCTCAGTTGCAAATATCTCTCTGGCAGCCCTTCTTGTTTTCCCAAATCAATGAGTATGTTCTGGGCCAGCAGTCATGAGCCAATAATCTTTCACAGACGGCGTAGGTGTCCTCCGACTCATCCATCTATGGGTGATTGAACTCCAAGAGCAGCTATGATACTGTACCATCCATCCTCAAAGCTAAAAACGACTCCCCGAGCAGCACTAGAGCCAGAAATATAACAGTCATTAGCTGGGTCACGTTCGACTGTTAGCGTGGAAGGCGAGGAGGGATGAGAGAGGTGGCAGTTAGCACAGTGACACCCAGCGTAGTTTCTGTAATGTCTGTTTTCCTCCTTCTCACATACAAACACACACATCCCGGATAAATATCTGAGTCAGATGCCACATGATGTGATGTTTCCAGTGTACAGCTGAACCCCCTTCCTGTGCCGTGACTTCGGGTACATTGCAGGAACACTTGTGCTTCCTTCCATCTCATGTCACTCTGTACTTGTCCGGCAGATTCTGTCAGACGACACCAATAAGAGAAACCTGAATCTAAAGAGCACATTGTGGAAAACAGAAAATTGTCAGTCTGGTCGTGCCTCATGTTACATCACGCTGTTGTCTCCACTTGTCCTTCAAATGATGCTGATGGCATGAGGGCAGAGCCATTGTGATGAGCACAATGCAGTGTGAGTTTGAATGTGACATGCAGCAGTGAGTCTAAAAGGCCATTGTTAAAGCTGAGTCATTGACAAAGTTTGGAATGTGCAGAGGTCCGAGATGCTCATACATGTAATATGTGATTGATTTTAAAGGTGCCTTGTTATTTCTTATTTTTTAAAATAAAAACCCACAGTTGTGTTTACATTCTGATTTGATTTCCAAAATATACTGTGTCTATCTGTGACAGCTAATAAATGTGTCAAGTGAATGTATTTTCATCTGAAACATTATAAAATTAATTTTAAGGCTGCATGCCAAATTCAGATTAACAGTCAATCAAAAATGACTGTGTGAAATGTGAACTAAGTCACTGATAGTGATGAACCTACAGAGAACTGGGACCAAACACTCTAGTGTGTGAGAACAAAATGTTTTTAGTATCTATCAGCTCACTGTGTTGATAAAAGCACCCTGACTATATTGTTCGATTCAGTCTCACTGCTCTCATCAACCTGCTATCAGCAGCATGCAGCTGTTTGTAGTTAAATGCTCCGATAAATCTACTGTATGCTACTGTCCACCATTAGCCATTAACATCCTACGGCTACTAATATAGAATAATAAGATATTCTCATTTGGAGTTGGTGGAGACCAAAAACAGAGCTAAAAGAAGAGTGAATACTGAACTTAGATGTATCAAGTCACAAGAAGCATGATTCCATATTAATGCAGATGTTGATCTGTCTTTTGATTTTTTTATTGTGCCCACTCATGATTATTTCCCCGCTGCCCCCCATATTTTAACAACAAGATGGATGTGGTGAAGCTGCAGTACACAGGTTGCTGTAAATAGACATAAGGAATGTTCAGACAGAACTGTGGACTCCAGTACAAGTTCAGAATACTTTAACATGATCTGGTCAACATGATAGTGATACAGATAAAAACTGCTGAGTTTCCAGTGAGTCCTGAGATTTTTTGTTTCCCTCCAGCTAAAGTAGACATCTGTGCATTTGAACCACACACTGTCCATAAACATTAGACGTCACCCTTTGGTTTTTGGAGTACTGTTTTGAAACCTATGTAATATGACTAATGCTATCTTGGCAGTAGTGAAAAGTAACTAAGTACTAAGTACTGTATTTAGGTACAATTTCAAAGTACTTTGACAAGCAAGGGGCTCTGACTGAGAACTCAAGGACACTACTAATGCCCAGTGGTAATGACTAGCCTATCTGATGGCCCAATCCATACCCTGCTTTGTTGTCCATTTTGCTCTAAAGAGGACCATAATCTAAAAAATGTACTTCATGCTGTATTACTATAGACCTGAACCTACTGATTTAGACCATAAACTGATCAGGAAAATGCCCACTAAGACAATAAATCAAATGTGAAATGGCATCATTTTCTCATAGACTTCTATACAATCTGACTTCTTTTTGCAATCAGAGTCATCGCCCCCTGCTGGCTGTTAGAAAGGATGCAGGTTTGAATCATGTCTGCATTGGCTTTGCTTTTCAGGCCCTCTGACTATTCCCATCTTTTATACACAGTCTATGCTTGCTACCTACCTATTTGTGGTACATAAAACTAGACTGCTGAATCGTCTGATTGTCAGTTTTGGCCAGATTTCATTATGCACTCTGAAGACATCTTTGTAGAAATGATAAATCTCAACCTGCTATTGTTTAACCCGACCCGGAAAATGGAAACCAATGTGTGTGTGTGTTTTCTCCTTAGCAGATAGGGCAAAAATAACAACTTTCCCTGAATATAAAAAAGTTAACATCAGCATGTCAGCTGAGGCTGTGAGAAACTGTTACTTATTTAGTAAGCTGCTGCACACCTTATTTATTTGTAGGCAAACTTATTTAGCATTTTATTTTATTTTCTTGTGGAGTACATATTCCCAAGCACTCTTCCCCCTGTAGTGTGAGTTAAGGCCAACTTCGCTGAAGAGGTAAATGCACAAACACAAGTATATGATAAAGACATGACAGTTTTTTCCCCTTACCTCACAAGCAAGCATATTTCCCAAAATGTCGATCTAAATATTGAAGATACAAGTCAAAAAAGCTGCATATTTACTTACAGCTAATGTGCTGTCTTTTTAAGACCCGAAAAACCTGAATTGCATACCTTATAGCCTGCCTCTAAAACAGCGCATGCAGAGTGATCAGGCTCCCTAGGATTATAAACAGGATACTCAGATAAACAAAATAATGTGTAATTACAGTCACTCTTATTGTAACTTTATTCAAGTCCTTTGTGTTAAATATTAATATTTCCTGAAAATGAGAAGGACAAACCCTGTATGAACTTTGGCAAGTTCTTCCTACAAGGTTTAATCTGTCTTGACCTTAAAATCAAGTCAAGAAGCTGAATAACTGAGTTTCTTGGTTCCTGCAGGAGACACATATTGATTTGTGCAATCAACAGCTGCAAGCAAGAGAACAAGAGTTGTCAGCAACCTGAAGTAAACCCAACTTACCTCCCGCGCCTCAACCACCTACCATGTTTATCTTGATACATACGCACTCGACACCTCTTTTGTTTCGTCTGTCACCACAACTTGTTCATGAGCACCGTTGGAGATCGCTATGGAAACATGCAGAGTCGACATGAACCGAGAATAAACAGGAAAAGATGCACACATGCGGTTTCTCCGGGATAATGTAACTCTGAGGTTACGTAACGAGAGAATTCAAGAAACCGAACTCGACGCTGCAAGTTCGCATGAGCCACAAATACACAGAGAATCCTCTTTTCAGGATAATGCACAGCACAAGTTGCAGGGTAATCCCAGAACAAAAGGGAGCTCAGTGGGGAAAAAAAATCAGTGTAACTAATGAGTCTACACATCTATATACTCTATATACACGTAAATAATATATCAAACCTCATCTTATTTAAATCCAAGGCAGGTGCTGCTAAACACAGAGTGAGTCTTGCACTATCAAACAGCTGCTATTTCTCGTTCTGTCCGGTTCAGAAGACGGAGGAGACGTCATGTCATTTACTGTTCACTCACTGTTTCTACAGCGTCCGTCAGTCAGCTGCTATTGTAATGACTACGAATTATTCTCCCTCCTTCGTGGATAACTTGCCGAACGTGTTGCTTCTTGCATAAGACTCCTCAAGCTTAGAGTGCCTCAAAATAGAGCTTGGCCTTTGCTGCACAAAGCCATCTCTGTACATTCTGTATGCAGAAAACACCTTGTCTACTCACACTCCTCAATCATGCACATAGAAATGACATTTTTTCTCCTCTCCAGAAAAATAGCTTATATTCCAACTTGCCTGATTCTTTTTC